TAATCCACAACAGCTTTTTAACAGCTTTTAAAATTGGTGGATAAAGTTGATCTTAAAGCTGGTAATGGATGTCTTTCTAACTGTGAGCCAACTCAGAGGCTCCTCTGTAGGTAAGGCTGAGTGCAATGAACTGCAGAGATGTATCTGTAACCTGGAGAATGTCTGGCTCGTGCTTAGTTCAGTTGAAAATTTGATGCTGACTGTTCTTAAATCGTTACCAGTATGTTTTAATAAATCCTCATTTGCTTTACCATTATTATAAATTGATTGCAGCTCTCCCAGGTCTCAGATCCATGAATCTCTCCTGCCATGACTGGTGTACTTTGGCTTGTCTTTTCACCTCATCCTTGGGGCTGGCTTTGCAATGTCTGCTCTGGGCTGATGTTCCACAGGCAGGGAATCCAAAGATAATTCTTGATGACTGAACTCTCGCTGACAATGATGGATAACGCTGCTGCTTTTTTGGCAGTTGGCTGTAACAAGGCAAATGGAGATGGGTTGGGACTTTAACATTTTAACTGCTCTTGGTTTCCCACCTGCTTGGGGAACAGTTTGGTTGTTGACAAGTTTGCTTTCTTGAGGAGCTGCATTAATTTTTGGGGCATAAATCCAATAGGATTTCATGTATTCTCTGCCAGTTTGTGGGTTTGTTCATGTAGTGCAAGTTCATAAGTGGGTTTTCTCATTCCTCTTTGGATAGGGATCCTTAACTGTGTGTGCAGAAGGCAAAGGAAGCAGGTGGCCATCAGGAGGAAAGAGCATTTTAACTTTATCTTCCTGAATACAGATGAAAAGATGCAAAGAGTGGGTGTTCTTCCAGATGAACACAAGTGTTAGTGAAAGATAAATCAGAAAAAAAAAAAAAAAGAGGAAAACACCCCACTTTTAAAACGATATTTGTCTATATAATTTCAAAAATATTTAGATGTAATGTCATAACTGTAATATTCCTCCCGAGCTCCCACACGTGCATGAACTATACATTTAAGCCTTCATGTTCATCTGGAAAATACCAGAGTTCAAGGTCTCATTCCCAGACTTGCTCTGCTCAAGGCTGTGTTTGGCTGGAGGCTCTGCCAGCAGGAACTCCACGTCCCGCGTGCCGAGCTCCTCCAGTACCGGCTCCTCGTGCTGCGGCTCGGACAACGAGGAGAACAACTTGTCTGAAAAGTTCAATCCAAGTTTTTTCCAAGTCATTTTCATCCATTTGGAGAAACGCTTTTGATCTTGCACCTTGTGGAAGGTTTTTCTCTCTCTCCAAATGAAAACCTCAGCTGGGAAGAGGAGGAGATGATGGGCCTGGTATTGCCAAAAGTTCTTTTTTGTCACTGGCTGCAACTCTGTGTGATTGGCAGGTTATTGGCAATGGAAACCCAACCATGAAGATTAATGAGCATTTCTGACTCACACGGTTTTCCATGCTCAAAATGACCTTTGGCAGTGATTTTCTTATGCAAAATATAGAATGGCCTTTAAAAAAAAAAAAAATAATCAGAGGCTAAATTGAAAACTACACTTGAAAATCATTAGTTGGTATGTTTATTTTTTTAGAAATATTTTCACCTGTAATTTAACAGATTATTCAGTAAACTAAACAAAAAAAATCCCTAAATATTATTATATCTGTAGGTTTCATGCATTTAAAATTTTTTACTAAGTTGTGTCCAAGAACAGGCAAATTGCAGAGCCAGTCTCTCCAAGTCAAATGCTTATGGGGAAAGGAATATGTGAGCACAAGTGGAAAGTTCTGCAGCCTGTGCAGACACACTGGACTTGGGAAACACTCCCCCTGACCCCCTGAATATTTTCTTTCCATCTTCTCCAGGAGTCCTGGCAGCACTCAGAGAAAGAATTGCTTCACTTGGGATCTCACTGAATATCAAAAGCCTTTCTCCTCCTTCTTGGTGTTTTCTGTATTTCAGTACATAAGGAATGATTTAAAGTTATTGCATCTTCAGAGATGGACAGAGTGAAAAAAGAAATTGGAATAATAAGTGAGGATGCACTTACCTGTAATGAGTTTTAATGAGTTCCGCTGGTGGATTTTTGTCAGTTGGCCTGATACTTTGATTTTGTGAAGAATTCCATGTTTATTTTGTGTATATTCAGTAGATTTCTAAATAAATCTGAAGACAGAGATTAGAACATCTCACAGGGAAGTCAACAGGAAGCAAATTCTCATATCCCTCTCTCCAACTCCCTGACAGGAGGGTGGAGCCAGGTGGCGGTCAGGCTCTGCCCCCAGGGAACAAGGGACAGGACAAGAGGAAATGGCCTCAAGCTGTGCCAGGGGAGGTTCAGGTTGGACATCAGGAGGAATTTCTCCATGGAAAGGGTGGTCAGGCCTTGGAAGGGGCTGCCCAGGAAGGTGGGGGAGTCCCCATCCCTGGAGGTGTCCAAGGAAGGCCTGGACGTGGCTCTCAGTGCTCTGGGCTGGGTGACAAGGTGGGGATCGGGCACAGGTTGGACTCGATGGGCTGGGAGCCCTTTTCCACCCTCAGTGATTCCATGATTCTGTGACCTGCAGGGAACGTTGTGGATTGGAGTCCAGGAGAACCCCATGGAACTCTCTTTTTCAAACACAGTGGGGCTTTTTTGTGCTGGTCCCAGTTATTTCCTTTTCCCCAGCTCAGGTTTCACAGCATCAGCTCTGCCGAGTTTCTGCCTCAGTGATGCGTCGTTGTCACAATTTGTCGGCGAATTCCGTGGCCATTCTTGATCCACATAGAACACGGACCAGAATTGCAGTTTCTTGGTTAACATTTAGGATGTTTTCAATGGAAATGTTCTCTCCTCCTTCTCCTCCTCATGCAGACTTTTGACAGCATCATTCTTCAGGAGTTGAACATTAAACACAAGAAATTCCTTCTCCTTTAAGACTGAGAAAGAATTAAGCGACTTCATAAAAATGAACATTCCTAAAAAAAGGCAACACCCCTGCAACTTCTTCCTTATTTTATGCCAGTTTTTAGTGCTAAGACTTTTTTTTTTTTCAAATATAAACTTAATAAGAGCAAAATGCTAAGGACTTTCTAAATGTAATTTTTATTGCATTTATCTCTAGAGTTGAAATTAATTATTCAGAGTCTTCATTAAAAATAAGCTTTGGTAAGTGACATTTTAAACAGGCAGCCAGAAGTGATTGCAGGGAAGATGGTGATAAAGGACAGTGTCTACAAGGAAGCGTAAAATACTTGGACATTTTAAACTGGCCTGTAAAAACTTCCAGTGGAGTTTTCTGGGCAGTTTGGGAAATGTAGTGGGAGCAGCGTTGCTGCTGGACAGCATTGCCACGTATTGCTGTGTTGTCAAGTGTTTGATGGGGTTTTTTTATTAAAATGTTCAGTGCTGGCACTGAGAAAATAGAAACAAGTTTCCTTTTTTTAAAAAAAATACAAAGTATGTGAATGTTTCCCCCCTTGATAATGGAGAAAATTTTGCACAGGTGACAATGAAAATTGCTTTAGACGATATTTTAGATGGCAACGAAAGGAAACCAACAGAACCACCCCATTTATTGCTTGCTGAAGTTTGAGCTCCACGTGCACTTGAAGAGCCATAGTACAGTCTGTACTTGTCTGTGATCAGCCAAACATCTTCCAGACCTTCTCCAGGTTTCAATCCAGCAGCTCATTGGCAGTCCATGAGGAATCCCATATGTTGTTAGGACAGATGCAGTTGCTGTAAGGGGGAGGCAGCCCATTAGAGCCTGGGGCTTTCTGGAGCCAGAAAACCTGTGGTCAACCCTCTTATCTGTGCCAAAGCTGGGCTGCATTAATTGTTTGCTCCTGTGACAGGTTCTTATCTTTCCTTTAGGTCTTGATGATGGATAATTTAGTGCTTCAGTCTTGTGTAGACACATGAAGGTTCAAGTGAGGGTGTGCTCTGTTAGAGCTGAAGTAAACACAGTTCTGTCATCAGATTTGTTTAATTTGTGTTTCAACTGTTTGCCAAAGGAAAATAAATGACCGTCAATCATGTTTGAGATGCTGGACCAGTAAAAACAAGAGTGGACTGTTTACTGAGGGAAGCAGAGGGAGAGAGGAAAACCTTCCCTGTCACTGAAACATGAATTTTCTTCCAAGTTCTTTCCTCAAGTTCAGCATGAGCAGAAACAGTCTTAACTATCAAACCCTCAGAATACTGAGTAATTGTGTGGGAATAATGTCAATAATCTCTGAAAACAGATTAAATGCTAATCTGCATGTGGAGACAATTATTTACTTCATATTTCCTTTTGCAATACAATGTAGACAACATTTCTTTAGTTACTTCCTTCTACATTGTCACCGGGATTGATAGAGGTTTTCTGGTTTCTCACACAAGAAATGCTTTTCTGTTTTTTGTGTTAAGATTTTTTTTAATATATATGTGCACATATATATTAAAATATATATAAGTGCACACAAGAAATAGTTTAAGTCTCTTGTTATTTAAAGTTCCAGCCTGGCCCTGTCTACCCTGGTGCCCCTCATGCAGCTCTTGTCTCCCTGCCCTGGAAGAAAACAAGCTCTTTAACCAAGGTCGTCATCCAGTTTTGCAATAAATCCTTTTAAATTTTTTTTCCCCTGAGAATTCTCCTACTAAAACTGGTGCATTCCCATTTTATTGGCTGTGGTACCTCTGAAAACACTCGCTCAGACTCTCCGGAGAAGAATTTGGTGGCTCTTCAGAGCTGTGATTTAGACACTTCACCCTGCCTATCTCAAATTGATGAATTCTTTATTGCTTTGCCAGGGCTCGTGGACTTTTCTGTGATTCCATTGAATCCATCCATCCATCCATCCATCCTCTGAGAAGATGGGAGTGCTTGGAATGGTACAGGTGTCAGTGTCAATGGATGAGCAGCTTTAGCATCTGATCTGTGGCTGCAATGCTGGAGGAGGAGCCAGACCTGGAGGCCACGTCAGGCCTATTTAAACCACAAAGCTGTGTCAGTGTATGATGTGTCAGGTTTGCTCCTTTCCATCCTGATTTCCTCTCTGATCTCTGTCTTGCAGCGTTGTCCCTCAGACCACAGTGATCCTCAACAACGACCGGCAGAATTCCATCGTAGCCAAGATGGTTGGGCAGGAAGAGCCATTGAGCAGAGCAGCGGATTCCCTGGAAAACATCCTTAGCAAGTTAGTAGCATTCCCAGGAATCCTCCTCTTCATTCCCTACTTTGACAGAGCAATATCAGTTTAAATTTTCAAGTGCAACTTGAAGTGCAAAATGAGGAACACTTGAGGTAAGAGTGATGGAAACGTTGAACCTGGACTTGGATATTTTCTCAGGCTGACAGTAAAGAGAGAGCAGTGCTTCACTCTCGATGGGAAAGAGTGTCCTGGAGGATCTGGGGTTGGCCCCATGTTAATTGACAGCTGACAGTTAAAGACAGAGTGCCCACAGTCACATATTTTTTGGACAATCACTTGGGAACGTACCAAAATCCCGTATTTAATTCATCTGAAGGAGGAATGAGCAGCAGCCCAGGAAGGCTTGTACTGTCTTAAGGAAATTTTAAATAATAGAACTGGGGGTTCTGGGTAGAAAATGTTCTTCAATTATATGTTTTTATAAATAATTTAAGTATTTTGTTTGTTTTGCACACTGGCCTGAGGCTTTTCCATTTATTCAAATTTAGACATTGTATCTAAGACTTTTTGATTTCTTCTGCTATTTTCCTTCTATTTTTATTTTGCTGGATAGCTCTGGGTTATGAACTGGATTAAGGAGTTTGAAGGAGTTTGTTTAATAAATGATTTAATAATTTATTTAATACTACGTTTAGTCTTGGTAGGGGTTGTAATTCCCTTGCAGCGATGTGCAGGGCCGTCAAGTTTGGCTCTGATGATCCCCCAATGCCCAATCATCCCTTGAACAAGCTGTGTCCTTTCCAGCTCAAGATATCCTGTGATTCTCTGCTATTCCTGATGAAGGATTATGTTTTCCCAAAGTTCCACCCCTTCCTTTCCCGCAGTGCTGTTCCAGGCCGCCGGCAGAACACCATCGTGGTGAAGGTGCCGGGGCACGACGACAGCCACAACGAGGACGGCGAGAGCGGCTCCGAGGCCAGCGACTCCGTGTCCAACAGCGGCCAGGGGGGCAGCCAGAGCATCGGCAACAACGTCACCCTCATCACCCTCAACTCCGAAGGTGCGTTGGCTGCGAGGCCGTGGAGCAAAGGGAATGTGGGGTGGAATGAGCTGAGAGTCAACTGGGAGCTTCCCGGGTCGTATCGTGGGTTTTCCTCAGGATTTTTAGGCAGTGTGGTGAGATCAGATAAGGGTGGATGTATTTGCATCGTCTGCTTGCTGGAAATGTGTTCTAAGGCACCTGACCCCAGGATGCTTCGGTTTTTTAGATATTCATACAACACACACGTGTTATAAAGAGCCTTTATTCGGTTTTTTAGATATTCATACAACACACACACGTTACAAAGAGCCTTTAGGTTCTGTCTGTATGTTGTGAAATAGAGTTGCTTCAAAGGTGTTTTATAGTCATGGAATGGTTTGGGTTGGAAGGGACCTTGCAGATCCTCTTGTTCTAATCCCTTAAGTGAGCAGGGACATCTTCCGCTATCCCAGGTTGCTCCAAGCCCTATCGAACCTGGCTTTGAACACTTGAAGGGATGGGAGATTTCTTTTTAGGTCAATGGGGAATCAAAAGCAGATTGAGACTGACAAGTTCCTCCAAAAAAACTGATCAGATTGCAGATAGTGCTGATATTTCAGTGTGAAAATAAATATAAAATGTACTTTTTGTGGAGTCTGTTAATATTTCTATATCAAGCATAGCGTGGCCAGCAGGACTAGGGAAGTGATTGTCCCTCTGTGCTGGGCACTGGTGAGGTCACACCTTGAGTTCTTTGTTCAGTTCTGGGCCCATCAGTGCAAGACAAACATACCAGGAGCAAAGTTGCCAACATCAGGAGGATATTCGTTGTATAATTCCCTTTTTGACTTGCTTTGGCACAGATTTGCACAGAGAAACGTGACATTGGCTCTTTATGCCATTGTTGTACATGCAAATTTTGAAGAAACAACTAATCCATTAATGTCTTCAGATCTGATTTTCTTCAGACCTTTAGAACACTCATCCATTAAAAATCTCCCTGAGATGGATGAATGCTCTGAGAATCAGATCAGTGATCCCCACCTCCCTCTCCTTGCCCTTGCACAGCAGGGCTGCTGAGCGACCTCTCCTGCAGGGTGTCACAGATGAAATTATTAATAAAGCAAGGGATGAAGAATGATAGGGCTGCTGTGCAGACTTGTTTTCTTCAGCAGTAAAAGGCAAAAGTCACAGCAGAAGGCAAAAAATCATCAGCTTTCAGGCTGTGACAGAATTTGTGAATCGATTCTTTAGGCGCTCATAGCTCTGGAGATATTGAATCACAGAATGGTTTGGGTTGGAAGGGACTTTAAGGCTCATCTCATTCCACCCCCTGCCATGGGCAGGGACACCTTCCACTAGACCAGGTCCAACCAGCCCCATCCAACCTGCTCTTTGCACTAATTTAAGTAAGGCCTCACAAGCAGTCTCTCTTCACACCACTTGTCATCCTAACATTGTGTTCTTTTGGATTTTGCCTTCCACTGGAAAAAAAAAAAAATAACACTGGGAAGAACATTAGAAACACACTAGTTTTAAATTAGAGGAGTTTTAAACCCATTCTGTTCAGTACCTGTGTTGTTTCCTGACTGGAATGAGCTCTCCCGTGCAGGAATGTGGCCATAATCCTGCCCAGGGCTGGTGTTCAGTTGACTAAACCATGACCTGGCACCAGCACAAAGCTGTTAGAAAACATTCTGACAGTCTCAAATATACTTGTCTAAACAGCTTCTCTGGGTAACCTGTTCCAGTGCCTCACCACCCTTCCAAGGAAGAATTTCTCCCCATTATCTCATCTAACCCTGCCCTTTGGCAGTGGGAAGCTGTTCCTCCTTGGTCTGTCACTCCAGTTCCTGATGAAGAGAATATCAAATTAGAAATGTAAACGTGTATTTTTTGAGAAGATAAGGCAAACTGCTCTGCACTGTGTGGTAATCAAAGGATGAATAATATTTTTTCCGAAGAAAATTCTTGAGTCCCATATTGTCTCTTCAACTTGGCATCTGAGTCATTTTACAATAGTATCATTAAATGGTACTTAGAATTTGCTTTCCAAATGTGAATTCAAGCAGCTCTTTGTATGTGGCCCAGACTTATCTGTGCACAGGATTTTCCAGTTCATGGCAAGATCAGATCTCACACGTTGGAGGAGCATTTGCAGCCCTTTCCTGCCAAGCTCCTCAGGACCAGATACAGGAAGGATGAACCATATCGGAGCAAAAGGGAACCTTTTGTACCCTAAACCAATATTTTAGAGCTGATGTGAAGGCACTGGTGGGGCTTCAGGAGCTGCAGTGACTTGTTAAAGCCAAAGAAAATGATAGAATCTGAATTGCTTTGATGTTTTTTCAATTATTGGGAGCCAACAAATGAACGATGGTTTCTTCCAGGCGTCTGTCACGGTTATGTTTGGAATTAACGTGGGCCACTGTGTAAAGTTAAATGTGCTGAAGAGGCAAGAAACAAAAAAAGGGGGCAAAATTCAAATGAGCTCTTTAACCTTTCTTTTAGCACAGCTTTAAACCCCACTGCTGGATTTGTAGGTTAATCTACAGCCCAGTTGTCACTCCCTTTCATAGCTTTAATGATTGCTTATTAATAAAGTCAGTGCTCTGTAGTCTCTGGCAATTAATCATTGCCCCTGTGAACTCTTGCAGGGGCTAATTGACAGAAGCTTATTTAAAAAGATCACAGAATCTTGGGATGGTTTGGGTTGGAAGGGACCTTGAAGCTCATCTCGTTCCAACCCCCCCACATGATGATGTTAAATCTTCTATACATCAGCCAAAATGCTATTTAATTTCTCTAGAAATGGAAGTTTATTTTTGTAGGTTAGGATTTGGGATTTAAAAAAATTTTTCAAAGATTAATTCATCTTTCTGCCTTTCTGTACCTACCAGTGGTTTGCTGCCACTGCCAACTCTGCACCCAACCTGGATAGTAAAATAAACACAATACTGGAGTAGTGGAACATGTTAATTCAAGTGCTTGTGTGGGCAGGTGTCTCCTTTTGTTTTCCTGTGTTTCGAAGGAATGACTGACAGCTCCCAGAGAGAGAGCAGAGCCTGGCTTTGCTTCCAGGCTCACGTGTCAAAGCAGGGGAGTGTGTCCCGATGGAAAAACGTGAGGAACACCTCGATGTCTGTCATCTCCCTGGGCGCAGGAAAACACGTCCAGAGGGAGCCTGAAAGCCTCAGCAACTCCTGTCTGGTTTGTGTTCTCTTGACAGGGGTTTTCTTGCTGCAAACCTCAAACTGGCTCCTCCTTTTCCCACAGAAATCCTTGTTTGCGTGGCAGCCCCGGCACATCCCTGCCCGAGCACCGGGATGGTCAGTGGTGTTGGGACAGAAAAGAATGGACTTAGTACAAGAAAAAAAGATTCAAAAATGACCTTGGAAAATTAATTAGTTCTGGGTTCAGTAGAATGGAGGTAAAGGGAAATTTTCTGATCTTAAAAAAATCACTGAAGAGGAACTAGAATTTCGTATGTCCTGGCAATGAGGTTCTGAGTGCAGAGAGAGAACCAGGTTAAACTGGCAGGACTTTGCACTGAAAGTAAAAATGATCAAGAGCCACTTCTGTGATGATACATTTGGTGTGAAAAAAGGCAAGGAAGTAGCTTTCCATGTAGCACTCAAAATGCAGGGAGGTCATTAGGAAAATTCACTGAATCCCATTATAGTTGGGGTTGGAAGGGACCTCTGGAGATTGTCCAGTCCATCCCCTGCCAATGCAGGGTCACCTGGAGCAGGTGACACAGGAACACATCCAGGTGGGTTTGGAATGTCTCCAGAGAGGGAGACTCCACACCCTCCCTGAGCAGCTGTTCAGTGCTCTGTCACCTCCATGGAAAGAAGTTCTTAATGAATTAGGGAAGGAAAATACCTTTGGGCAAAATAAGAAAGGTGATTAACTGAGTTCCAGGAGAGTGTGCACATTTATGCTCCCTTAATTTTAAGAAAAGTGTGTTCTTTGAATGTGCTTTTCCTCCCAACCCCAGTTATTGATTTTTTGGAAGTCTTTAAGGAATGGCAGCAGCTGAGTGTGGTTGTGCAGAGCCCAGTCAGTGTGTGGGTATTCCAGTGGATGTACTAAATAATCCAGCTCATCCAGATTCTCTTTAGATATTACACACAAACCTGATAATACAAATAAAGAATAATTCCAAAAGCATTAAAGGATGTTGGAGTGTAGGAACTTCAAATAATGCAGAGTTATTAATGTGTTCATGCACTTAATTGTTCAGAGGGAATTTCCATCCAACTCCCAGCCTTTTTTCTCTTCCCTTATTCATTCCATCTCCCCCACACACACCAGGGCTCAGACTGTTTCTGCCTCGCTCAGAACTGGCACTGGATTTCCTCTTTTCACCAGATTTTATGTGCCAATCTTGTGTTTGCTCCCTGCAAAGTGCCAGATGTGTTGGCAGCCCAGTAGGAATGATTTTTATATATATTAAAGAATAATTCAGCTTTTGTGCCCTGCAGTGAGACAGTAGATTCATGGTTAACTCCAGTCATGCAAGCCCTGCTTAATGCAAGATGATTATAAAATAAATTCCCTTTCTGTCGAAACTTTTCAAGCAGGAGGAAAATGCAAGAGATAATTTAATGGGGGGATTGTGGTCATAGGTCAGAATAACAAGATAGTGTCTTTTTTTCCAGCCTGTGAGCAATAAAAGAACAGTTGCATGTGGTAAAAACAGTATGTTCTGGACTCAGTGCCAGTAGAAAAAAGAGATTATTTTGCAAATTGAAAAAAATCTTTGGTTCACGTAGGTTAACAGGGTTTGTTAAACAAGTCTGCAGGCAAAAGGTGTTCCATAAGAAGGAATAGCTCCTGTATCCCACAGCAATCCTGTCAACTGGTAGGGAAATAAGTTTGTGATAGGATGAGAATAATTTATTCAGGCTTCCTAGAATTTCTTTGAAAAACATACACATTTATCCGGAGATGTTTGTGCTTTGCCAGCTCTGCCCAAATTTTTAGAAACCAGGCAATTTATCTTCAGGAACAGCCTGTTGTTTTCCCTGATAATGTTAACCAGACTTGTGGTGAGCCCAGACACAGTGGCATTCAAAACAAGCTGGAATTGATCCCAACCACCTTATTTTTTAGATGGCACCTGGTTCTGGGAGCAGAAATCAGCCAGTGTGCCCTGTTACACGCTCAGGGCAAAAAGGAAGGCTGAAATTAAATAGCTATATATATACATATATTTTTATATGAGTTCTGATTTCAACAGACAAAAGTTGGAGGGGTGAGTTGCTACATGCATCATTAAAAAATAATTTTTCTTACCAGTTATTAGATATTAGGGAGAAATTCTTGGCTGTGAGGGTGGTGAGGCTCTGGCACAGGTTGCCCAGAGAAGCTGTGGCTGCCCCATACCTGGAAGTGTCTAAAGTCAGGTTGAACAGGGCTTGAAGCAACCTGGAATAAGGGAAGGTATCCCTGCCCATGGTAGGGGGTGGAACTGAATAATCTTTAATGTCCCTTCCAACCCAAACCCTTTTAGGATTCCCTGACTGTCTTACAGCTGATAATCTGCTGTCCCAGTGATATCTCAGTGTTGCACAATCCAACGTTTGCTCCATCCTGTCATTATTCATCACCATAAACCTGCCCCTGACATGTGCTGTGACTCAACCCAAAGGTCACGTTGGAAGAGCAGCTTTTAGTGCTTGAGTTGCTTTTATGTTATATTTTATTTACTACTTTTGGCTTGTAGTCTGATAAAGCTCAGGCTGCTTAGCCCAGGCCAGGATTTGGAAACACAGATGCTGCTCAGAGTCCTGCTCAGTGTGGTCGGTGTGAGCTCTGTCACCCTGTTTGGTGACAAAGTGTTGTGGGTCCCAGGAACTTGTGGCTGTCCATACCACCAAGCTGTCCTCTAAAGTCACTTAACGCAGGATCAGTCATGTAACTGGATGGTTTGTTCACAGTAAATTACTGTAACACTGCTGTGGAAGGGCTGAGTGACCCCTGAGCCAGGCAGCCTTGTTTTACTGCACAGAGTTGAGTAAACATCGAAATCAAATCCAAATGGTCCCTGTCAGTGAGCACTGAAATACTACTGGGATGTTTTGCTGTCCATTTCTATTATCCCTGTCAAGAATTCTACTGGAATTTTTGGTTTTGTCTGGAATGAGTCTCATCTTCAGTCCTGTGTTCCATCCTCCACTTGAGTAGGGATTGGTCCTGGGCTCTGTTCTAGTTTCTGGTTAGTCTTGAATCCACTAACTTTTGGCATTGTCTGCACAGATTAATTTCAAGTGAGGGCATACTATTCCTTTGAATTTAATTAATTTTATGTAATCAATTTAATTCCTAGTGCCACCTTTTTTTTTTCTTTCATGCCGAAACTGAGAAGCAGGAACAGAAATAAAAAAGCTCTTTAATATATAGAATGTTTGTGTTGGTGGATATAGCTCTGCTCCTGATGAGCTTACACTTGAATAGAAAGGAGGAGTCACTTGGCAGATGATTAGTGATTGATTAATTATCTTTATGCTGGGCCTTTTCCTTGATAAACTGGTTGTTTAGAGAGTAATGTAGCCAGTAAATTTGAAAAAAGACCAAAATTTTGTTTGGGATCTCTAGCTACATTCTAAATGATTGTCATTGCTTGAGATACTCCTTTTAAGTGATTAAACAAATTCACTATTGATTGTAATTTCTTAAATATATTATCCTGCTTAGATTCCTTTTTATCTGACATTTTGGGGGGGGGAAAATGTGGTTCAAAGCTGTTGGCTGCTTGAAATGAGCTGCACTTTCAGAATAAGGCGGCATTGCAGTAATCTTCATTTTTAGGGGATGACTAAGGCTGCATGAGAACACTGTGACTGGAGTGTTCTCTGCTGTGAGGCACTTCAAAAGGCATCTGAGAGTCAGCTGGACATCTGGACTGACTGTACCAGATCCTGGCAAGGCCAGAATGTGAATGACAACAATTTTGGTCACCAGTAGTGTGGATTTGAGAGTAATTTTGATCAGTAGCAGATTCCATGAGCCTCTTTTCATGCTTGAATTTGAAAGTTTATGGAGACTGGGAGGCAAACTGGGAGAGGTCACGATAAGAAACGTTGGCCATAAGTTGAACCTGACTGGTGGCACAACTAGAACGTGTCTGGTGTGTGTTTGCAGAGGATTATCCCAACGGGACGTGGCTGGGGGACGAGAACAACCCCGAGATGCGCGTGCGCTGCCCCATCACACCCGCGGACATGCTGCACATCAGCACCAACTGCCGCACGGCCGAGAAGATGGCCCTGACCCTGCTGGACTACCTGTTCCACCGCGAGATCCAGGCCATCTCCAACCTCTCGGGCCAGGGCAAGCACGGCAAGAAGCAGCTGGACCCGCTCATGATTTACGGCATTCGCTGTGAGTGTTGCTCTGGGAATTCCGAGCTGGAACGCAAATCGTGTGTCGTAAGAGTGGGGCGTGTGTTGGTGTCGCAAGTTTTGGTGGGTTTTGCTTAGGAAGGAATCCTAATGGGCTGGTTTAACTCAGTTTGCTGTGCGTGTTCACTGCAGATTCCTCAGTGCTGAATTCCGAATTCAGGTTTTTTCAGAACTACCATCTCTGAGTACAGCAAATATCATAGAATCATCACTTTCTCATGGAGCACATAATAGCAAAGGACACAAATTTCAAGTGCTCAAAGCAGGATGGTCTTGAATCTTAGTTTTTTACTTCCCAATGATGTGTGTTATTTCCAAAGATGTGCTGTGACTGTGATGGAAGAAATTTGCAATCTCCTTATCAGAAAATCTATGGATTCATAGCAGGGACTCACATGATGCTGATGGACTTGTTTCTGTTCCAGTATGCATGAATCTTTAGATTCTTTAGGCTATTATGGAGTAATGAACAGATATTACTTGTATTGAAGGCAACATTTTTGTCAATTTAAAAGGAATCAAACATGTTTTTATATAGAATGTAGTAGGCACAGTCACTGGTTATAAGTGAGGAAGGGTGTGGATGTGCATGACTTCTAGCAGAGGATGACTTGGTGAATACACTGAGGTCAGCCAAGTCTGTTCTCTGCAATTTATTTCCAGGAAATTAGAATATCCAGGATATTGGGAAAAGGTTCTTCCCCCAGAGGGTGGTCAGGCACTGACCAGGCTCCCCAGGGCAGTGGTCACGGCCCCAAGGCTGCCAGAGCTCAAGGAGCGTTTAGACAACGCTCTCAGCACATGGTGGGATTTTGAGGTGTCCTGGGCAGGGCCAGGAGTTGGACTGGATGATCCTTGAACTGGATTCTGGTAAACCAGTAGATCTTGTAGTTAAAGGATTCTTTGTAGTCACATTTTGTGTTGGGTCACCTGAAGTGGGAATAATTTGTTATACCGGAGAGTTCTGTATGGAATTGCTAGTTTAAAATTCCAGTGAAAGCTTAAAAACATGGCCAGAAAGAGCCTATTTAGAGTGATGTTTGAAGAATTGGATGTTTTTATTCTTCTGTTGGGACAATGTGTGGGATAGTTACAGGGAAGGAAACTGGAATTTGTTGTGTAGGAAAATCAGATTTTTGAAGATGTGAGCAAGGGGAAGGAATGTGCCCCTGTGACCAAGTGCTCCAGCTGGGGATTATGTCATTTGTGTGAGGCATTCTGACCATGAAGAAACTGGATTATAGAAGTGGTCCCTGCAGCTGGAAAAGGTCTGGAATGGCACAGATGTAGGAGCAGTGCATCATGAGCACCAAATGTCTGTCTTTGATGTCATGAGCACAGTTTGGAAGGTTCGAGATGCAGGCGTCTGAGTAACACCTTTATTTCTTCTTCATGTTGACCAGTGTGTTGCTTTATTTTGGGAACCAGTCCATAAAAAACTAGGGACTGTGGATATCCTGTGGAAGAAATCCCCCCTGTGAGGGTCTGACCAGAGTTTACTGGTTTGGGTACCAAAATGTTAATGGTTCCTGAGATTTGCTACCACCATGACAAAGAATTCTGTGGCAGCAAATGAAGAAAACTCATGTTAACTTGATGAAGCAGCAGATTTAATAGTAGCAACAGTGGTCCAGAAATGATGATTCCACAGAATAACTTAATATATCATCACTGGGAGTAATTAAGTGGAAGTGAGCTTGGATTTCAGTGACCTGTTCGTGGCTGTGGATGAGTCCAGGCTTTCCAGGGGAGGTTGTCCCCATGCTCAGTTTGGTGGCAGAACTCCTGGTGAGTTCATCTGTGCCATGATTTCATCCCTGATCTCTGCCAGAGCGTTCCTGGGAAGAGCCCTACCATCCCACATCCCCCTCACCGCTCCACACACCAGCTGGTTTCTATCAGGGAACTGTTGTTGCATAAAATTGACCAAAATCTGAGTGCAGCTCTACCTCAGGTGGTCGTCCCAACAGCGTGGTTTGATTCTGCTCTGGTGAGACTTCGATGCATTAATTTAAACATAAATGAAAACTCCAATGTCATCAGCCCCAGCCTTGCCAATCACAGCTGGAGGAGCTCAAACCCATAGAAAGGATTTTATTTTTCTTGCAGTTTGTCAGTGGAAAGATATTCCATCCTTTCTTTTTTTTTTTTTTTTTTTTTTTGCTATAAGAAAAACACCAAGCAAATCTGTATTTAATAGAGCAGATATTTTATATAATATGCAAAAAGTATAGAAAATGAAGAGATGTGTGTTTATTAAAGATTCTTGATCCGCTGCACAGGGTTCACCACAAGAGAGAGGAAAGTTTATCTTTGGAAGGATAAATTTTCACTTGTGGGATGAATTTGCCTGTGGGGTGGCAGTGGTGAAGGAGAGAGATTTTGGGCACGAAACCAAAATGACTTAAACACAATGTATGTCATTAAATAGCTCATTACTTCAGCCCTACTAAAAATGGAGACATTTTCTGGTGAAATGTGATACAAGAACATCCTCAGTTGTAATTTTCTTTGCATAACAGAAAATACAGGTTTAGTTCTTTGGAGATTTTGCAGCAATTTCCATGAGTGAGCTGGAAAAAACAGACTCCCAAATTCAGAAATTTATAAGAAATTTGATAATACAAAGAATGATTTTACATGTCACTGGCAAAAATAGAGAGGGGATTTCTGAAGTTCAGAAAAGAAAATCTCTCAGTGGTTCTTCTTAACAATAATCTAATTAAATGAAAAAAACCAACACATTAGTTATATATCATATATATTTTTATATTTACACATTTCTATGCACATATTATATATATACATATTTTATAGTATATATACATATAGTATATATATATATTTTGTAGTATATATGTTTATATACATATTAGTTCTGTTGAATTTTCCCATCTTCTTCCAAAATATCCATGTAGAGTGAATTTTCCCCATTTTCCCTCGTGAGTCAATATTTATTTAATCCAGAATCCATCCTTGTCATCTAAATAGGAATAAAGTGTTATCTGAGAATACCTAATGATAAAATCTGATTTTTAACTGTAAATGATGTATATTCTGCTTGAAATGGCACGTTCTCCCTTTTTAAGACAGAATTAAAAAATATAGAAGGAAATTGGTGATCAAAGCTCAGTGTTTCTGTTATGTGTAATATTTTTTCCAGTCAGGATGGGCCCACTTTCCTAGTGGATTAGTTGTAAGAGATGTTAATCCACTGTGAGAGAAGTTGTGTCCTCAACAGAGGCCAAATGGAATTAAACACTGGGGCTGCTGCACACAAACTGACACAACAGCAGCCCACACACAGTTGCTTAATAGGAAACACATTTGGCTGGGTAATTTATGTCATTTAGATGATATATATGTGTATATATATATTTATATATTTTTATATATGTATAAATTCATGCACACAGCCCAAACACATAAGGCAGGTTGGGCCAGTTTAAGCAGCTGGTCACTGGTGTCCTGGAAGATGTGTAGTCACTCACTGCTGCTCCAGCTTCTTTGGAATGGAGATGTTGATCTTTCATAGCAATGCAGGATAAACAACAAATGCACCACATTTCTGTCTGTCTTAAGTATTCTTACCTAAATATTGGAGGAAGGGCTGTGAGTTCTCCTGGAGGAACTCTTGGCTCTGGTGTTTCTCACCAGTGAGTTTGTTTTATGAGATACTTCAGGCTGTTGTTATTTTATAGAGTGTTTTATCATGGACTCATGGAATTGGGTTGGAAGGGACCTTAAAGCTCATCTGGTCCCACCCCCTGCCATGGGCAGGGACACCTTCCACGAGCCCAGATTGCTCCAAGCCCCATCCAGCCTGGCCTTGGACACTTCCAGGGATGGGGCAGCCACAGCTTCTCTGGGTAACCTGTGCCAGGGTCTCACCATCCTCACAGGGAAGAATTTCTCCCCAATATCCCATCTAACCCTGCCCTCTGGCAGTTTGAAGCCATTCCTGCTTGTCCTGTCCCTCCAGGCCCTTGTAAATAGTCTCTCTCCATCTTTCTTGTAGTCTCCCTTCAGGTACTGTAACCAAACATTTCAGTTACTGAAGACATGCCCTATCAATACAGAATATATTTATTATTTTTATATTTTTTTAGCTTTCCAATTTAGAAACCCTTTTTATTACTGTATTTTTATTAACTATACCCATTTTTCCTTTTATATCCTTATTTCCTTCCTGACCTTTGTACACTTTTTTTGCGTCTTCTCTGTCTTCCTTTCATTTCCTGTTTATAATTTTGGGCTCTTTGTGTCTCATTTCTGAATTATCATTCTAGTCACTGACTTTTAGATACATAGCAACATACAGTGGTTTAACAGTATTACACCAAGATGCTGCAAGTCTGGAATATCAGCAATTGTAGTTGTGCATCCAGACCTTGAATTCCATCAGTAGACACTTGGAGAGCTCCAGGAAAATTATCCAATCTTTCATCAGCACTAGAAATTGATGGATTTCTGTAATTCGGATTGTTGGAATTACATTGTTAATTGTCATTTCAGTCCATCCCCTTGATGGGGCGTGACAGCTGACTTGGGAATTGGTTGTAGCTCTGGATACTCTGGTGGTTTGGGGGGAAGACAATGGGATATGGGATAGTGGCAGTGCTCAAACTAACGACTTGCTTGGGATCTCTGATCTGCTTCTTCATTCTGTAGGGTATTAGTTAATCTTCTAAGCTGTAGTAGCCTGCACAGGAGTTATGTGGTTTCTGTCTGGTGGATGAGCTCATCTTGTGGTCCCTGGAAATCCTTTTTGCCAACATTTTCTTCTCCTAGTGATAAATCCCACGGACTGTAGTTCTTGGGAAGTAATTATTTACTTCAGCCTGTTCCTGTGGTGTTATCACGGAATCCTGGAATAGTTTGGGTTGGAAGGGACCTTAAAGCTCATTTGGTTCCACCCCCTGCCATGGGCAGGGACACCTCCCACTATCCCTGGTGCTCAGATCAGGTGCTGCAGCACAT